TGAAGACTGGGTGAACACACAAAGGGCAGACGGCCAAGGTGTTTCCACTGTTTCCACAGTGCAGATCATTACTAACCAGGCATGTTTTGTGTGCAGTTTTTATTTTCTAATCGTCCGGGGCTTATTAATGCTGTGTCAGCGCTGTTCTTTTCTTCTAAACATGCAAATTACTGGTAATAACGTGTCAGTGCTGTTTTTATTTTATAACCATCCAGAAACATGAATGCTATCAGTGCTGTTTTCTAAACTTGCAGGCATGTTCACCCGTGTTTAAAATTTGTTTTGTTGAATTAAATCAACAACGAAAAACTTCCGTGTACTGTCTTTCTGTCTAATTATCTTATGTTATGGCCATACATGCGCTGTGCGCCGGAGACCTGCATGTGGCTGCTGCGCAGCGGCTTGTATTTGAGTGCTGTGTGTAGAAAACCTTTTTTTTTTTTTTGCTGGTGCGACTTATATTGAGGTGCGCTTTATAGTCCGGAAACTACTTCCACACCCTTGTTCTCCAGAAACTTCAGGCCTCGAATGAGTCCCCCTTTCTCCATCTTATGGCTCCCACCAACCTCATTACTCTGTATCGATAAAAAGCAATGAGCAAGTTCGTACTTTGCTGTTATAAAGTTGACATGATTCCAGGAATTTTAAGTGATGGTGTATAAACTGTAAATGTACACTAAATGTAAAAGAGACAATTACAAGTTATTTTATTGAAATTTGAGTTCACTTTTTAATACTATGTCTTGTGTCATCACTACAAATGGCCTAAAGACCTACATAGCATGCAACTAAGAAGCATCTGAAGACTCGCAATGCATGCATATATCAACCTAGTCATCTGTACAAGTTGAAGGTCAATGATGTTGTTTTCCAGGTTCATCAAACTGTAAGTTCCATATTTTGCAGAGTGCCCTTGAAATAAAGGCAATGTTATTTACAACAATTTTCAGTGATTTTTTTTTCTTAAGATTAAGAACACAATCACCTGGTGAATCGGCTCGCATGTCCCCTCCAAGCTTGACTTTTTTCTCTAGGACGGCCAGCTCTTCTTGGTATTGGTTCCATTTGTGGATCACTGCTGGTTGTAGATAGGTTCTTGTATGTTTTCGGAAACATGAGTAGCTGATGCTCTTAAATTAAATTGCATCACAAAGCTGTCAGTAAAAAAGAATCATAAAAACACACAATATAGCACTCTTGTAAGACCTTCAAAAAATCAGTCACCTTTATGTTGGATCAAAAAGGTGTGGGTCATAACAGTCATTAATATGTCTATAAAGAAATATTAGAAAAAGCAATCCATCCATGAAATACTGAGAAAATAAACTGATGATATAACACTGAAACTTCACACCCTTTTAACATGTTTGTCTGGTCTGGTTATCTGGCAAATTGGGTTAAAAATTATGTAGTGTTTGATAACCTAACAATATGTATGGTTACTTTGTAATTTTAACTGGATTTCTCAAACTGATACATTTTAGGATGAGGTTGCTTGTCCTTTTCCTGAAGAAGCACATGTTGGATCAAGAGATTTGAATTTTTTATATGTTTTCATTTAAATGTGTAGTACATGTGCAAGTTAAATAACACCCAAAGTTGTTTTGTTTTCAACTCCGGTGTGTCAGACTCTTCATCCAAGTTGGTAGTGTTTATGAGAGTTATATTTATGTAGAGATGCTAATAAGGACATTTCCTTTATACATGTTTAGAAATAAAGTACGGTTCATGATACCTTTTGAACTTGAAAAAATGAAGATCTGGTGAAGAAAACTGCAGCTGAGAGCAGAATGTTTCCCACAGGGTCACTCCCTCTAACTGGCTGGCTCTTCCTATCTCTGGAGAAACTACAATGGTGGCATTTCTGGCTGACAAAAATTAATGTTCCCCGTCTGTAGGTCTTTACTTCTGACACCCGACTGCAGACTGGGCATGTTTCAAATAGTTTTATGATGTTTTTCTCAAACACTGAATTTTCATCATTGTATTCCTTTGAAGACATGTCAGTCCTGTCAAAAAACAAGTTGGTTGTTTTGAAAAAAATTAAGTGATGCACATCTGAAAAGCTGTGTTTAAATACTGTGTGGGTGTTAAATACTTACGTAAGATGCGAAGTGTCTGTGACATCTGTCATTGACTTTGCTGGATCAAAAGTGGAGTCGTGGGGGTCTGGTGTCAGTGTTGAGACCTCTCTATCCTCTCCTGTTCTTCTTCCAAACGTGGTCTTTTAAAAGGCCTTTGATGAAGTGGCTTGATTGGAGTTGACGTGCAAGGCCCCCATGGTGCATCTTCAGTGCTTGTTTCCACACTGCGTTGTGTGATTATAAAATCAGTTTGACATACTGAAGTTTGAAAAGGACAATTAAAATGTAAAAAAAAAACAGTAGAGTGAAATGCCACATTTATGACTACGGTTAATTATTTTACATTACAAGGTACAAGTTATGTAAATGTTTTTTTTTAATACATTGCATTTGACTTTGGTCTTATTTTTGTAATGAAATACTATGTCTTCCATTCATTCTAAAGCAAATGAAAAATGCCACATTAAAAGACCTAATATGGGTTAAACCACATACTTTGCTACGAACATGGTGGCGTAAAGCAGTGGCGGCGCCAGGGGGGCGCTATAGCTACCCCTGGATTAGTCATTGCACCCCCATAGCACCCCCAAGTAAATATTAGATTTTTTTTTTTTTTACAATTGATTTTTAATTTAACGTGTGGATGTGATAATATTTAACATACACAACAAAAATAATCAGTAAATTATCATGTAGATAGTAAAAACTTAAACCAAAACAGGAAATTGAGGTATGGGTGAATGACTGGTTGTGTTATAAAGCGCCTTGGGGGGTTCCAGGACTGTAGAAGTCGCTATATCAAATACAGGTCATTTATCATTTATCATTTAACCTTTGACCTCATTTTCCACCTGTGAACGAGTGAAAGGTAGAGCTAGTGGTAAAATGGATCATTTTTTGTTGCCCAAATTTCCACGGGTTCAGTCAGAAACGAATGAATCTTTGGAAGTGATCTCAGACCAACAAAAACCTCGGGATCTGGATGAGGAGAGTCAACCCTCAACCGCCGCAGCCGTGTGTGTGTGATGCGTGTTTACTCTCATGAAGCACACAAACTCTGTTGCTGCGTGCAGCTGCAGCGTCACTTTGTTTCTCAGTGGACGAGTTAGTATCTTCATCGGAGGGTGAATATTACACTCCAGAATCAGAGTCAGCCTTTAACAGACAAAGAGCTTTGTCAACAGTGAGCAGACCTGTCAGCATTGTAAAGTTCTCCTCCAATAAAAAACTATAATATTTACTCTGTGTTCTCTGCTTGTCTCCTCTCCTCAGTCGGGAGCCTCCGATGGGGGGTAGTTTTCAAATTCTATAAACTCAAAAAATTCAAAACTCAAAACATCTCCGCTATCTTCTGGTGTAAAGTAATAACTTCATCAGGGATTATATTTGCAGCCATGGCTCGTTAAACGCAATATTGCGACTTTGGCGCTTAAAGGGTTAATTTTACAGTCCTCAGATTTAAATTAATTATTTTAATTAATTATTTATTATTATCTAATGTACACGAGTGGGGTCAAGTGAAATGTTTTTTTATATTAATTTTATATTCTGCATTGTTGTTGTGTCAGTGCTAAATAAATATATTCATGGTTTGTAATAGTCATTACAATGCCTTGATTTTAGCGAGGTTAGTACACATCGTAGCTGTGAATACTATAGTTCTAATTATTGACATAATAATTTCTTTCGGTGTTTTGTTTTTCAGTTTCGGCCAAGAATTTCCATTTTGGTGCATCCCTGTTAGATTCCCACGTAGTACGATTAAGATAATTAAAACATAAAAAATAAAAAAAATAAAAACGTTCTGTTCAGAGATTTTTATTATACAGTAAAAGAAACACTCAAAAGCTACTTTACAAATCTATCTAGTCTGTTTGTTTATTTATTTGCTGACCAATCAGCTGCACCGATACTGGTCAAAGAGAAGATCTAAATAAAGACTGAATTGATGCCGTGACCAAGACTAGATGCATAAAATCTATTTCGATATATTATGTAATACATTATAATTTTGTAATCACAATTTTGTTCTATTAGACATTATATTAGGTTTAGCTGCACAATTATCTCAGAGTTCTATGTTTTTATACGACACATAGTATCAGTGAACTCTAGTTTTATTTTATGATCTGTGCATTCTCATCTCCCGTGCTGTACAAGTGCGTGTGTGTACGTGTGTGTGCTTATTAAAATCCCAGAGGCAGTAGTTAGTTTTCAAACTACACAGAACGCAGCGCGGCGTCTTTAAGGGACACGCCATTCAGCAGCAGTAAAGGAAAAAAACTGCATAAAAGTGCCAAAAGTCAAACTTATCATGTTTTATGGTCATAAAAGTCTTGAACTGGGCACCTAAGGAAACATAAAGCCATTTGTGCACTCACTTTCAGCAGAGCACAGGTAAAATCATGCCAGGTCCTACTTGTCTTTCAGCAATTTTTCTCTTTAGAAATCGCTGAGGCGTAAAAGAATGTAAGTCCAGGTTACTGGTCTTCAAGGGGTTTCACAATAGCAGTTTTCAGCGCCAAAGGGAACATACCAGCGAGTAGGGAATGACTGATGGACGCTGGTGCCTCTTTCGCTTGACAACTGAATGCTGGTTTGTGTCGGTTGAGAAGGATTTAGAGATAGAGACACATTTTCTTTGCATTTACGCCTCACAGAATGGGAGAATGGGATCTTTGTTGATAAGAAAACACACACACATGTGCGCCATACACATACACACATACACACACACACACACACAAGTTGCAAAGAGTTGGTGTTAATACCCATCATTGTTGATCGAGGCCACTAAAGACTTTGCATCATTGTTGGTTCAACCTTAAGTCATCATTGAGAAGTCATATCGTGACAGTCGTTGATTTGTCGGACAAAAGGTGTGTGTGTGTGTGTGGGGGGGGGGGGGTACTTTACACTAAACCAGAACATTGAGTCCAGTCCTGTCCATCCCATCTGTCCTGTCACACAAATGTGATAAAACAATGACTGACATTCTCATAATAAAGCTTGTAGAATATGTTTTAAAAATGAATAACACCAATTGTAAGAATGAATAGGGTGAGAGAGAAAATGGTCTGCCTGGTTTTGTGTGTCCTCCAGTGTGTATCGTAAAGGTCTCTCTCTCTCTCTTCGTTTCACCCCGCTGTGGGTTTGTGTGTTAGAGGGTGAATAAATGTCTAGTGATTGGAAACCTTTTCCTTTTGTAAACTCGAGTCTCTGCCAGAGAGCATTGTGTAGCATTGTTTACCAGCCCTCTTGTCCCCTTGTCTTGCCTGTGTGTGTGTGTGTGTGCGTGTGTGTCTGTGTGTGTGTGTGTGTGTGTGTGTGTGTGTGTGTGTGTGTGTGTGTGTGTGTGTGTGCGTGTGTGTGTGTGTGTCTGTGTGTGTGTGTGTGTGTGTGTGTGTGTGTGTGTGTGTGTGTGTGTGTGTGTGTGTGTGTGTGTGTGTGTGTGTGTGTGTGATATAAAGTTGACATTACCAGTTGATTGCTCCCTAGACTAGTCTTTGTGTGAGCTCATGCATGCACATGCATGGCTGTGCACGGTAATGCATATGACGGCTGACATTATGGGATTGCCACCAGTGTGTGTGTGTGTGTGTGTGTGTGTGTGCAGCTGTGTTCTTGTATATGGGACAGCTGGGATGATTACTTGTGTGTGTATGCATGTGCACATGTGCTTATTTTCCATTCAAACATGGCGTGTTGGTTTGACAATATGATGTAAGATTGCGTCACTTTTCGGTTTAACATGTTATTGAATTGAACAAATTCTGATTGGCTGGTTGTTATGCTGCAGGTCAGTTAGCTTAGTTATACAGTGCTGCTGAGGCATAAATGGAAGCTTTTGTAAACAATCACCTTTTTTGACTTTGATTATGTCTATATTAATCCCACAACATGGACTTTTATCCACTTGTGTTGCATTCATTAATGCCAAACTTTAATCTTGAACATGGAGGGAAATTTTAATGTAAATCTCATCAAAGTTTGAACTGAACTTGTTAAAGGTGTAGCAATCGATGTTTCTGAAGAACCGCCCACTCAACGTTCTTTAAAATGCACATGCGCACCCCTCTACCAGTTCGTGGAGCGTGCTCGTGCACGCTCTGTTTCCAAGCAACTGCCGGCTTTGCACCTGTTGACTCTAGTAAATTATTTTTTTCCCCACAATGTCGGATTCTCCATCAGTAAGTTATATTCCATGTAGCATTACGAGCATCTTCATAGCTTTTTTTGTAATGCTATAGTTAGCTATCAATTAGCATATAAGTTATATTGTTTTGCTGATTGGTTTAGAGCTTTCCTGAGGAAAGTCTTGTTGGTTCCGATACGGACTACGAGCCCGTGCCCGGTCCATCCCGACCAAGATTCAGGATGAGGGTGCACCTAGAGACCGAGTGAGACCATCCAGGGCCGGAAGAGCCACAGCTTCAACAACCCGCGGCAGCCGAGAGCAGGAAGGAGGCGGCCGTGTCAGAGGTCGACGTCGAGTTCGAGGTCAAGCTAGAACCCGTGGGGGTCTGCTCGCTGACATTACACGGGATGACTTAGAGAGGGTCCAACAACTCCGGCAACAGTTGGTGGCAGTGAAAGAGGTATGCGTGCACATCTAACTACTAACTTATCATAATTTTGTGCAAAAAACGCCAAAAGCAAAGCCTTTATTTTACATTTGCTCCATTACGAATCCATTTATTTAATCTGTATGATTATCCCGATTTTGAATGTGTGAAATGTTATGTGGATTTATTCTAAAGTATTCATAACATACTCTGCTCCATCCAACATTATGAGTTACATTGTGCTACAGCGAATACACAGAAAAATGTTGTGAATGTACTTCCTTCATTTTATTCCAAACATTTTGCACTCAAGTTCCTTATGCCTGTAACATGTCGTATCTGAAAGTTTTATGAGTCCATTAGCCAAGCACAACACTTTAAAAGTGTGATTTTGCATTCACAGGCTAGGATAAAGAGACTGACGCTAGAAGAGTGCCAACAGCTTCTACAAAGATGTCTCACATGGGAATCTAGTCTAATATTTGACCTGATGAGTCTCACCCCTGATCACCCACAACCTGGACCTTGTCCTCCACAGTCACCCAGCTGGTGTGTCTGTCTACAGTGCAGAAATATGGCAACACCGCTGGAACAAAAATGCTGTCAACAACAACAACCACAGAACTGTACATCACTGTTGCCACACATGGACTTATACATCTTGAATGAAGGTGCATTGAGACTGGCCAGACGAATCTGGAATGACCTTAGAGCGGAGGCTGACATCCGGGATCCAGGAGAAAGCCATAGGCAGTTCCGCTATGCTGCATACAGGAACTTTATTGTCTGGCAGTATGGCCTTCTGGGACCAGGTGATAGAATTGTTATACCTTCATGTTGTGTGTGGAAAATTAGAGATAGTTTCCCAGATCCAAATGTATGTAGGCTTTCTTCCATCAAGAGTGTAAAACATTTATAGATGCCTAATAAATCTTTTTGTAATTTACCTCAAAAAAAGAGACCTCAAGAGCTTCACTTGCACACTCATAATCTGATTAATTACACGGTTGTATTCTGACACTTCAAATATGTAACATTTCCAGGTTTTAATAAAACAAGTCTTCCAGGGTTTGTTAGGTGTTCAAACACAACTTTACATTTATAAATACGTAAACAATTTACCTCAGCAAAAAATTATTAAAAAAATGTATGCGGAAATATAAACAAACGGTTATGAATTTTTTTTATTAGTTCTTACGTATAAAATCGATGTTTTATGAAAGGCATACATCCACCAGAAAATGTTTGATATGGCACATTATGTACAGCTGAAAAAGAAGCACACATTTGGTTCCCTTTAGATGTAGGTACAGTTGTAAACATCAAGTTGTCTCTCCTCGTCACCCACAGCATTTTGTCACACCCTGTCCTGTCTCCCCATTCTGTTCAGTCATGTGTCCCTGTTAATTGCTCCCACCTGCCTCTCGTTTTCCAATCACCCAAGCTCCCAGCCCTCATGTATTTAAACCCTCTCAGTTCTGTGTGTTTTGTCGGTTCATTGTTTCCATGTCCTGCGTGCAGTTACTATTAAAAGACCTTTTGCATGTCCAGATTGCCTGCCTGCTTCCTCCCCAGCATTTGGATCCTCACAAACCGCTCAACTCACCTGCACCGTGACAGAATGAACCGACCTCCCGAAGGATCCAGCGGGGAGGTTCTCCCCTGGGAGTACCTGCTCCGATGGCTCACCCCGAGTCACCAGCCGGCTTCTCCTCCTCCAATTCCGCCACGCCGCCATCGAGCCTCGGCGTTCCTCTCCACCCTCCTGGAGCTAGATGAGAGGTTGGACTGGGAGACGCAGCCGGACCAATCCTGCTATGTGGGCACCAGGCTGGCTGTGTGCTCCCCGGCGTTGGTCCGCGGCACCGGGAAGGAACCCTGGCTCCACCAACACCTCCAGCACGTAAAAAAAATAAGATGCAGCTGCCCATTACACTTCTTTGCTGAAAAACTTTTAATATTTTATGAACCCCCTGTTGGATATTTCTTTACCTCTCAAAGTCCTCCCTGGATGTACAATACAGACCAGAAGTTTGAACACACCTTCTCATTCAATGTGTTTTCTTTATTTTCATGACCATGACCACTGGGAACTCCTTCAAGACTGCTGGGAAACCATGTCAGGTGACTACCCCTTGAAGCTCATCAAGACTGTGCAAAGCAGTAATCGGAGCAAAGGGTGGCTATTTTGAAGAAATCAATCAATCAATGAATCAAGTTTTATTTATATAGTGCTTTCCACCACCCTGAAAGGGGGCCCAAGGCACTGGACAAGAGAAGTAACAAAGCTAAAAGTAGCAAGTCATAAAAACATTAAAAACAAAATAAGAACATAGACATTTGTGAACAATAAGATGCCAATGAGATAAAATTTAGATAAAAGAAAATTTAAATTAATTAGTTAAAAGAAAGCTAAGAACTAAAACTAAAAACCAGAAACCAAAAGCTTTAGGAGAAGCCATCCTATAAAAATGAGTCTTCAACCTGCTCTTAAGGACTGCCAGTGATGGGAACTGTTTGATTGTGAGTGGGAGCTGGTTCCAGAGACTTGAAAAGACCAATCACCACAAGTCTTAAAACGGGTGCGAGGGATGATGAGCATTTTCTGGTCAGCTGACCATAATGACCTTGAGGGAACATGCTTTATTAAGAGTAGGTTGGGCCACTGCCTTGGAAAAACTTAAACACAAAAAGCAGAATTTTAACTGTGCCTTGTATGAGACTGGGAGCCAGTGAAGGAAATCCAGCACTGGAGAAATGTGGTCCCTTTTCCTAGTTCCTAAAATAAAAAGCATGTTTTCAGTTTGTTCACCTTTTTTGGGTTAAGTACATAACTCCACATGTGTTCATTCATAGTTTTGGTGCCTGTAAATGGTCATGAACATAAAGAAAACTCATTGAATGAGAAGGTGTGTCCAAACTTTTGTCCTTTACTGTACATCATATGTAACTGGTAACTGTTTTGAGTCAACCCCATTCGGTATGGCCACCACAGCTAAGCTACCTTAGCAAATGCAAGAATCTCTGTATCTTTTACTGGTATTTGGTTACAGTTTCATGTTTTAATAGCTGAGAGTAATACTGTGAGATCTAACAGCATGCAGAATGTTTTGTTTTTGTTCGACAGTTAATCAAGACTTTTATCATTTCTCAGTAAGAGATCTTAGTTTAAAAGTCTAGCACAAAAGTTGGTGAGGGCCACTAAAGAAAAACTAGACCTTTTAGGACTTGCCGTACACGAGGAAGGTTTCATAATTAGTTGTTTCCAAGTAACTCACCAGTCTAATTATGTTTATGGTTTGCAGAAGGACCTTCATAAAATGTTTTGACCATTTTGATACAGAGACCTTCTGAGCTTTACATAATTACTGTAGTGAATATACACTTCTCAGAAAATGAAAGTATTTATCTTTAATCAGAATATAATTTCAAACATCTGGGATATTGATCTGGTCAGTGAAGTAGCAGAGGTGGTTGTTAATCATTGTCAACTGTTTTGTTTATAGCAAGTTTAATAACTGGAGCACTAAAGGGGCAACAATTTCATGACCACAAAACTGTAATGATTTTACAAGTTTTTCAGTAGTTTTGCCATTAACTTGAGTCAGTGTCTCTATTGGTAACATGAGATACCTGAACCCTACAGAGGTTGCACTGGCAGCCCTGCTCCACCAGGGTGGCCTGTCAATGTGGGCCATTACCAGAAGGTTTTCCATGTCTCCCAGCATCTTTAGACCCATTTTTAGATCATTTAGTAGTACAGTGGGCCCTGGGTTTCCTGGCTTCATGTGGCAAGAGTATGCAGGTGGCTTATGGAGAATGAAGGACTTGATACCATTGACTGGCCTCTGAGTTCACCAAACCTAAATTACATAGAATGTCATGTTTATGTCCATCCAACATTGGGCTGGGCAATAAATCGAAAATGTATTGTTATCAAAATTTCTGACTCTTGTCGTGATTATTTTTCCCATGTCAATAAATTTGATAATAAAAAAATGAAAAGATGTGTGTAGATTGGCAGCGTTCATGTCCCTTTAAGAAGAAGAAGAAGTGTATTACAGAACTACAATAACCTAAATTCAGTTGGTGTTTGATTAGGTCTGTAAGTTGGAAGAATATAAAATGAATCTGTGTTTCGTTTTATTTTGTTTTTTTTAACACTTTGAATGAAACAAAGAGTAAAAAAAAAAGCTATACCACTTCAAGTTACCTTAAGTAAAAATGTGACTTAATGTATTACACGTGATAGCCCCTAGTGGACAACTTTTGTTTCAGTAACAACCTGTAGTTATGGTCTGTTTATTGTTATCGAGGTGAAATCCTCAATATATCATGATATTAACTTTAGGCCATATCCAACATTACCAAGTCACACCTCAGACTGTCCAGGAGCTCAGTGATGTCGTGGTCATGATGGGAGGAGGTACCCCAGCACTCCATTGATCGGCTCGTGAGGAGAATGTACTAATGTCAGACATGCATGTGGGGGCCGTACACATTACCAAGTACTATTTTGATGGCATTTCATGAAATCTGACTTATCTGCTGCATCATTTATTCAGTTTCACTTCCTTCGTGATTTAGAAGTCCATCCATCCATCCATTGTCTGAACCCGCTTGTTCATGTAGGGTCGCGGGGGGGCTGGTGCCTATCTCCAGCGGTCAATGGGCAATCAGGCGGGGTACACCCTGGACAGAGAGCCAGTCCATCGCAGGAAAACACAGACACACAGGACAAAAAATCATGCACACACACACACACACACACTCACACCCAAGGACAATTTAGACAGACCAATCAACCTAACAGTCATGTTTTTGGACTGTTGGAGGAAGCCGGAGTACCCGGAGAGAACCCACGCATGCACAGGGAGAACATGCAAACTCCATGCAGAAAGACCCCAGGCCGGGAAGCGAACCCAGGACCTTCTTGCTGCAAGGCAACAGAAGTAAAACCTCTATATGTTGATAAGTTTGTTTTTCATCAGATCACTTGGGATCGTTTTTTCCTAGCACACTACTCATTCCATACAAGTATGGATATCCGTTATGATTTTTTTCCTCCAACCAAAAATTATCAAAAAGTTACTTTAATTTAGTTTTAACTGTATTTAATTATCTTGTGTTTTCTTACCTGATAAGTGAGCAAAATTTGAGCCAAATGTATCCTGGTGTTCGACCCTTCTGCTGTTCAAATACAAGTTGGGGATCTCATTGAAATGAATGAAAAGGGCACATCATTTCAACACGCACAACTTGTGTGGATCTGAACACAACCTTGCTGTAAATCTCTTGAGATGCAGCCCGGCTGCATAGACGGGTGCTTCCATTTGAAATGTATGAACTGGAGGATAAAACCCACTTTGTTGAGCTGGATCTGCACCTTTAGAGTGGTTTAATAGTGTAGTGCTGTTGTGGTTCCGCGAACAGAACTTGTATCATTCACTTAGTAGCTGTGCATTTTTCACAGAGAAGCTTAATTTCTTAAGTTTTCCTTGTCTCTTGTTGTTTATTAGACTGGGTTTCCTTGACAGTTCAGCGCTCTTCCTTCTGTCCTCCCCCTTTTTATAGCTTTTCTCTTCTTGCTCCCCCTGGCCTCCTCTTTAAGGCCTCCTAGCTGCTGCCTGCCTGCCAGCCGCCTCTCACCCATTGTGGGCTAACAATGGCAGGCGAGGCCCCAGCCTCGAGGCCTGCAGCCCGGGCCTTGGGTGGTGCTATTAGAGAAGGGGTGTGCTTAGGAGTGAAAAGACAACTCTGTGGGGCCAACCAGAGGGGAGGGAAGCCAAGAAAAACCAGGTCACACCCAGATTAAAATTCAATGTATGTGACTGCCTACGTCATTCAAGCTGGCCTGGGTACAGAGAGTGCACGTTGGGTGGTAGGAGGTGGGTAGGTGCAGGAATACGAGAATCTGAGTACTTTCTGGGTGCCATTCAACTTTATAAAACACAAGGGTGATCAAATTTGTTGGGGTACCCAACCCTCTTTTATGCCACACTTCAGTTGGATTTCCTCAGTGTACCTCCAGGGTGTGTGTGTGTGTGTGTGTTGGAGAGATCTTAATGGGGCAGCAGTGGCGTCATAATGCATGCAAGACAAAGCAGATTTGGTGATGCACGCTTCCTTTGTGCTCCTTTGGCATTTGGGGATGTGGGGTGCTCTGTGTAAAGCACACACATGAAGACACACACAATCCAGTCCCCCTCTGTTTTGGGCCCCATCCCCATATGGTAGCTTGGCTTGATGAGAGCTTTATGAAGTCAACCAGAAGTCCCCCACCCCTCCGTGTGTGTGTGTGTGTGTGTGTGTGTGTGTGTGTGTGTGTGTGTGTGTGTGTGTGTGTGTGTGTGTGTGTGTGTGTGTGTGTGTGTGAGTGTGTGTGTGATTGCTTTTCAGCTAATGGATAAATGAGAGTTTCGCCCTCGCCCAGCCATTGTGTGTATGTACATGAGCCTTGTGTGATTCGCCAGCTTGTGTGTTTGGCTTTGCCTGCTGTTTTCATTATTTCATTATTCATGTTTCATGCATGATCGTGCAAAAGGGGCAGCGATCAGCTTTGCGGGGATAGAAAGGATAAAGAAGGGGCGGGGTTCTAGAGTCAGACCACAAATGTTCTGACCCCTTTGCATCGGGCGAAACCTTTACCAGAAGAGAATACGTTGCAGAAGCGGAACAAAAACATCTCACAAAAACTACACTCAGCATTTATTCCAGATTTGCTGAGGCCTATGCTGCGTTTGGGGAGTCTGAAAGGTGTTTCATTTGACGAGAAACTCAGCAGGAGGATTAACCACCAGTGCTTCCGTTTTTTAGCGATTCAGATGTGCATGTTTGTTATGATCGAATTAAAATGTTTCAAAATAACCGATGCCTCTGTGTCTTTGCTACAAATGAAGCTGAATCACAACAATTTCTTTCATGAGAAACTGATGACAAGCTGTCCATCTTTATTCAAAAGCAAAACACCAAAAAGTTGGTAAAGTATGGATGTTCTGTTCTTTCACTAACCTTTAATGCGTTTTGGCGCCTTTGTCCCACAATCTTTATGAAATAGCATTATATTGACAAACTCGTTTGGGTCACTGTTCACTTTTTGTTCAGTCATCAGACAGTCCAGCAGCTTTCATCACGTGTTGGCTTTTAGTTCTGCAGCACAAAACAAAAAGCACCGATTAACGAATCTGGATCTGTTTTTTTAAATGTGCAGCTTTGTGCTCAGTTGTAGCTTGTGCACAGCTCAGCGCCTCCCTCCTCTGTGTGCGTTTGTGTTTACACAAACGACATCACAGCAAGCTTTTTCTCTCTTTCTTGTTTTTGTTGCTAACTCGCTGTTCCTTGTGTTGTGCTCGCCAACCCAGAATGGAGCCATTTTGTCTCCTTCAGTTCCTGAAATGAAATATAAGCCTCTTAAATGCATACTTATCTTGCCCTGCAGACTGTGCCTGAAGTACACACACACACACACACACACACACACACACACACACACACACACACACACACACACACAGACTAAAGAGACATTGTGATGCCAAGCCTTGTTCCTAAGACTGCTGCTTTATGCGTATGGCAGATGCTTTGCATGCCGCCATATTAAACAAAAACCATGGCTAAGGCCACGGCTGGTTTAGGAAAAGGGCAAAGTGTGAGAGAGACAGAGAAAGACAAGACAAAAGGGACAAACAAAGGGAGAGGTGAGGACAACAGACTTGGCACACATATAAACAAGGAGGAAACCCAAGTGTGAGCTTCTACACACACATACACACATGCATAATAGGGCCCTGTGAAAACCTGCCTTTTCCATTTTATGTTTATGTTTATGTATTTAGCAGACGCTTTTGTCCAAAGCGACTTACAAGTGATGAGTGATTTTAAGGCTTCTGAGTTCCACTTTTCCATTCTAACCAAACACGTTCACCTAAAACATGCTTAGTTATGAATAGAATGAAAAATATTTACGACTCAGTTGCCATAGAGTAAAAAAATTGATTCAATGTTTGACAAATACAGAGTTGTGGTTTTGCAGAACAATTGATGCTTTTGCAAATTTATAAAATGTTTCTTCTTCATTTTTTGTGCTAAATTTTAGTAATTGATTACGAGGTAAAGGGCCATGGATCAATAAAGGTCACAAAAACCGGACAGGGGAGCCCATGCTGCCCTGGTTTTTGTGTGAGGTACGGTGGCTGCAGAGGCCAAAAAACATCAAAATCTACCATCTTTCCCTGCTTTCTGATATCAAGAAGTTCCATTACTGCAGGGGTATTCAGGTCCATGTCTGGAGGGCCGGTATCCAGCATGTTTTAGTTGTAACTCTACTTTAACACACCTGATTTCAATCAGCAGGTGATTAACAGGCTTCTGCAGAGCCTGATGAGCAGCTGCACAGGTGATTCAGCTACTGAATCAAGTGTGTTGGAGCAGAGAAACCACTAAAGAGTGCTGGAATTGAATACCCCTGCATTAGTCTTCATTTTGTATAGAATTTTAGTTTGTTAAAGTCCACCATTCTGTCTGCGTTTTCCTGATTGTAAACATCACGAGTCCCTGCATGCACAATGTGAACACACACTCCTGATGACCAGTTTATGTAAAGAATTTAGCAGATGTATGTTGCATGAAATGTAACATTAACATGTTTTAATTGTAAATGATTACATATGAGTGAGCAGCTGATGATTTGAGCAGCTTTTATCATCCTTACATTTTCTGTTTTAAATCTCCAGAGCATTTGTCTTTGTTGTCTTCAAGCTGAGCGATGAATGACTGTTGATCCTATCCTGGCATTTATGGGCTCTTATTCAAGGTGTGTGACAACCAACTAGTCCCACCTCACTGCTCTGTTTAAAGTTGGCTGCTGTCAGTAACAGACTGATGCTTCAGTCCTTTGCTGAAGCTTGCTGCCCATTTCCAAATGATTTCTTCAGGGGACCTTCCAGATGGCTCTGTGGAACAAACCGTCTGGTTTGTCACTTTATTTTATTGGTATCTGCGTGTCT